AATACCTAAGAAATAATATAATTATTCCAATTGGACATCAATCAGTTATAAATAAAATAGGTCAAATTTTAATATATATTAATCAACTATAAATATACTAATCGGTTATAAATAAGATAGATCAAATTTTGGTTGATTATTAACTGATTTTTGATGTATATCAATCATTTATGCTGATTTTTGATAATTTGCTGATTTTAAGCTGATTTTAAGCTGATTTTAGGCTAATTTTTGCATATTTAATTTTTTTGATTTTGATCAATGAATACTATTCTTTTTATTTTAGATATCACATAAATTAAGATATATGTTAAGCAAGCACTTGCATGTATGAAATAACATCTATGTGTAGATATATATCTTTTTATTGAATAATACTATTTAAATTACTAATAGTAGGATGATAAAAATCACAAATCTATTGTTTTACATCAACTTTAAATTGGTTAATTTCTTCATTTATTATGAATTTTGACACATTATTTTATAAAGATGATAAAATTCACATCAAAGATACATAATATTTTGTCCTCTTATAGCTTATTGTCCTTTAAAAAAATATTTAATCTAAAAATTTTTTAATATCTTTTTCTTATTGGAATCCATAAATAATGTCTATTCCTACTTTCTATTTTTTATAATAAGAAGGCAAAATTCAAAATGAATATGCAATCTTTTTATTTCTGTAAATATTAATATTTATGTATTATTTGTAAAATCTTTTTGTTTAATAAGCTTATAAAATAAACATTAAAAAGTATATCAGAAATTCGTAATATAAGATATAATTCATCTATAATCTAATTAATTTGATCTATTTCTTGAAAAAGCATCATATTTTTATAGCCTATATTAAAATTTAATTATTAATTTACTATATTAAATAAAATTTATATTATAATTAAATATATATTATGCATATTTTTTAAGTTTAACCATACTTTATTTATATTATATCTTTCATTTTTATGATAATTATAATATAGGTAAAAGTAATTAAATGTTGTAGTATTGATTTTCAAAACTAATATTACAAATTTTCAATCATCCTAAAAAAATAACTCAACTAGCCAAATTGTATTCTTTGAATTTTTATATCTATTAGTTTTAATTGTTCAAGTTCATGTGAAAATTTGGTTAATATAATAGATAAAAAATCATAAGATTTTTTTCCTATATAAATAAATACTTTGTATAATATATATTAATAAATTATATACTATAATACATTTGTACAATAATATATAATAAAATTAAAAATTAATAATATATGATACCTATATTGATGAGTAGAATTCCAAACAGCTTCTTTTTCATTAAAAATACATATAGTAAGTATCACATGTTTTTGCTTTCTTCCTATATTTCTTTTGTTTTTACTTAATTCTATATTAATCTTATTACCAATTTTTAAAACAGGAGATATTGAAGTTATTAAAATAGGAACTATAATATTTAATATAGATATAATAGATCAATATATATTACTGCTTACATCACCATTATTAAGTTCTATTTTACTACTTAAATCTTGTTAATTCTTATCATTATCATTAATAATTTAATTAAATAAGAGCTTTCATTATATTTGTAATTTTATTTTAGTATTTTTCAATTACATATTCTCTTATTAAATTTGAAACTACTTTAATTAGTTTGCAATAACTGTCATGTGAAATTAATATTTCATCACAGGCATAGATGATTGAATCTAAATGTAAAATCAGTTATATTATTAGAATAAAAATGTAATTCTACAATTTTACCATTAATTTTAAGAATTATAGCTTCAATTGTTACTATAATTTTTTCAGATGATAAGGTAAATTTATTATTTTTGAGAATTGTTAAAGTTTGTATTGCAATTTCCTTTCTAACTATAGTAATATATTTATTTTTTTATGATTATGATGTAAGTTTAGTAAAATATCATTTATGATTAGCAAATATTATAGATTGTTATACAATATTTTCACGTATTTATTATAAAAAACTTATATTTAGATCAAAAAGTATTGTATTAGTAACTTGTAAATTGAGCTTATTATATATTTCCTATAATAAAGATTATTAATTATAATAAATATTATATATAATTAAAATTATAATAGATTATTTAGAATTTTACATTCACTTAACAAATTTTGAAACATAATAAATTATATCAAAATTTATTTTTATTAGAAGATTATATAAATAACTTTAAAAAAGTATAATTTAAAATATTTTAAACAATTATAAAAAATTTTAACATATTACTTCGTCAAATTTGTTAAATTCTTCACTTCTTTTAATTTACCTTTCTTTTAGAGTATACTCAAAATGTAAATAATTTTGAGATTAAGAATATAATCAGAATATAATTAACTTTAGAAAAAGACTTATCAAAATAAGAGAAGTTATAATTAATAATGAGACATATTGCAATTATTTCAACATATTTATTATGGGATAATTATACATGTAATAATATAATTTTTTAAATATCACATTAGATAATATTATAGAAAGAGTTGCATTAGTTTATATGTAATGAACATTATTAATTAATTTAATGATTAAAAAAAATTAGAAGGTAACAATTTATTTTTAAAATACCATTTCTATTAAATATTAAAGTAAAATTAAATTTAATATAGATATTCATGAATATATTTTAATAAATCCTTTAAATTGTAAAATTAAGTTATATTATTTAAAAATCTTAATAAATTTATCAAATAAATATATTTTTAATTATTTATATTAAATAAATTTTCTATTTAAATTTGTATTTTTCTAAAAAATTTTCAAAAGAAAAAGTATTATAATTAAAAATTTAGCAAAAAATAAATTAAAGAAATATTTTGAAAAATTTATCTAGTTAATTACTTAAAGATATTTAATTAAACTTTCATCATAATAAAATTTTGTATTATTAAGAATAATAACACTATTAGAACTTAGATATAGATTTATTTTGAGTAATTTAAATAAAAGAATTAGTTAATAAAATTATAATATAAGAATATGAAAATTATTTATAATTTATTTTTAAAAATAATTTATCACATTAAAAATAATAGAATTCTTAAAATATTCTTTTATATAACTTCTTTCTATAATATTATTTGCTATAAATTTTTGCAATATTAAAGAAAGTAAATTATATATCTTTTATTATATATAAATATTTTTTTTATCTAAGTATTTATAAAAAAATATCTATATTCACATAATAAGTTTTATTTATCTTTAGCAGATTTATCTAAGAAGATTAATTGTTTTAAAATATAATTATTTTTATATGAGCAATAAATTATTACAAAGTATTTTATTTTATTCTTTAGCATTTTTATGAAGCTAATTATATAATAAATTTAGATAAATAATAATTTAATAAATTTAATAATTTCATTATCTGCATTTTATCTTTTTATATATAATATTACAAAAATAAAGAGATTGCACTTCCTATTTTATTAATATCTCTATTTTAAAAACTAATTTATCTAAATAGCAATTTATTTTATTAGCTATAAATTATTTAATACTTATAAATTTATTGAAATATTAAGAAATTTATTATAAACAAATAAGTTTTAATTAATATTTATCTTTATATTATTTTCATTAAAAATTTTGTAACACTTAGCTTTTTTTAGCTATAGATTAACCAATATCTTCACTTTTTATAATTCTCAAAACCTTTTTTTTCAATATATATAAAATTTTTATAATTTGTTTTATAAAAAATCCATCATATATAGGTATATAATTCTTTACTTCAAATTAATACTAAAGTTATCAGCATCAAAAAAAATTGATAGAAATCAAAAAATACCTTTTTTGAAAAATAACTAATTAAAAATATAAACAATTTTTGAATGTAATATATATAAAAGTATAATAATTGTCTAGAAATCTTAAATTATCTTATTACAGTAATTATTTTATTAAAAAAATATTATTTTTAACACAATAATTTTGATAATTTTTTATCAGATAATCTGTAAGGAGTAGCATAATTTTAAAATCTGTGATAATTAATAATTTACCAATATAACCTATTTAACTATTATAATTTATATAATTCATTAACAATATTATTTTTATTTTTTTTTATTTTTAAAGTTTAATTATTATTTTAATCATTAAATTATGCTTAAGAAATTATTATTTCATTTAATAATAATTTGTAAAATTATCTAATAGTGTATTTTTTATAAAAAATTTCAATAAAATAAAATCTAATTATTAATTTTTAATTAAATTATATTTGGATTTTGAAGTTAATATTTATATATTAAAGTAATTTAAATAAATTTTCAAAAATAATAATATACTAAGAAACAGAAACTATTATTAAGTTTGGAAGAATCTTAACTAAAAAAATTCACACTTTTATGCAATTACAAAAGCTAATCAACATCAACTCAATTATTGAGTGAGTAGACATTGAGACATTTTGTACCACCTTACGGTACATAGTATTAGATAGTCTTTCACTTTATTTCATTATTAAATTATAATATTTAATATTAAGTTAATTATCTTTTATTTTAATTTTTCAATTTAATGTATTATGTTTTCAATTAGATTATTATATACTTTTTTTGCAAACTAAATCAATGGTAAAATATTAAGTTATAGGAAAAAAATAATTATGTCCGTCATAATTATTATAAAATACAACCAAAATTCCCGTGACTAAATCCAATCCCGTTCGATGAAAAATCATCATCTTCGCGTGATATAGGATTTTGCGTCATTAGAGAAATTTTTTTTTTTTTTTTTTAGCCCAAGGTTTTCCTAAATCCTTTTTAAACTAGATTCGGTTATATTTTATACTTGGTAGCGCTAAAATTTTAGTATTTAACAAAAAGAATTCAGATTTGATTGTCACTTTTAATTTTGAAAATCAAAAAAAAAAATTTATCTCCGTCAATAATACCCTCTGCTGCCTAAGAATACTGATACTCCCCCATTCCCGAAATCATTTGCCTTTTAGCTGACTTAACATGAGTGAAAAAATGAGTGTGGCTCTTTTTGGACCTACTGGACAAGGAAAATCTACCTTGCTAACATGCTGGTCTAAGGTGACTTTCATGAAGAAAACAATGTGTTCCAAGTTAATGATGCAGGAGTCGGAATAAAACGTTATGCTAACGAGAGATCTGAAGTGCACGACATAATCGAAGTATGCCAAACAAATTTTAAAAGTACTCCGCATAAAAATGCTGTGAAAAGTATAAGAAAATATTTTTTAAAATATAGAGGGCCACTTAACTACATATGCTACGTTAAGAAGAAGGGAAAGTTTACCAAAGAAGATAACAAGTTGTTCAAGATGTTTAAGGAGATCTTTAAGGGAAGCGAAAAAAATATCATCATAATGTGAACCGGAATGGGTCGATGAAAACTCGAAAACCATTGAGAATAATTTTGGAGTTTATCTGACCATTGCGGTTGATTTTCCCTCCCAAGGTCATGATGCTGCTGCTAAAAGGGCGAAAAGTCTGGAACGATTAACGAGCAAACTTACATCCTTAAATTACAAGGGCATTAAATTGGAGATTCTCAGCTCTATCTACTTTGTGAACGGAAGACCAATTGTGGCAACAGAATGATAAATTTATAAACCCTATAGTTAAAGGTGTGAGCCAAAAAATTGTACACAAGGTATATGATATATAGCCTCCGGAAGGTTTTAAATTCGTGTTCCCCACATAGACTATTATTATATAGGATTGTTATTTTTTTTTTAAAAAAAATAATTTTTTTCCATTTTTTTTTTTATAAAATAGTGATGTATAAAAATCAATAAATAGAATAAAATTATTTCAATATTCACAGAAACAAATTTAAATGGCGCAATAATTTAAAATTCTCGTCCATTGCTTGCATGCCTTGTTAATTATTCTGCCAACTTGATTGGCCAAAGGAATTTTTGTAAGAAATGTTAAGTCTGAACCGAAACATTTTACTTAAAAAAATTAAATCATCTCTATGCTACAGTTGCAAGACGTGTTGATTTCTTACTTATCTTCCCCCATTTTTTTTTAAAAAAAAACTATCTTTAAATACCTTGTTGAAGATGATAATATACCAAAATCATTCTTCGGGAGTTCGAAATAATCCCTTGACGATGTTCAGTTATATAAATTCATTCATTATATTATTTTGGGGTATGTGAAGATAATGAGAAATAAAAATAATGACCATTGCTTCATTAGTCTAAAATCGGTCGAGGCTTGGTTTTGATGAGATGTTATAGTTATAGAATTTACAATTTCAACCTTTACTAGAAATGGAATTCTACCAGTACAGTATTTCACACATATTCAATTTAATATTAAAATTGTTATCCATATTTGGTTAATGTTTTTTTTTATCGCACCAGTATTTCTTCAAACTAGTGAGATCCAAAAACAACTGCCACCTGCGCTGTTTAAAACTTTTGTGGAGCGAACCACCCGAAAAGAGGACGCAACATCCGAAACAAAAAATGAAATCATTCAGTCGTTGCACCCTGAGCGAAAAAAAATGTTGAAAACCCGTATTATACATCACCAACCGGTTTTAAATTTAAGACCCAGGTAATATAATATTAAATAAAAATATTTTTTCTTTGATTTTTATTAAAATAAAAAATATTGAGCTAATTACATGTTTAAATGATAGATAAGATTAGATATCTTGAGGAAAAAAAAAAAAAATATATTAAAGTGTTTACTTAAAATTAAACCTTGATTCAATGTAATTTACGTTTTACTAAATAATTTTCTGCGTTTGAAAAAATCTTTGCTAGGTACAGAAGTTGTAGGAATAAATAAATATTTGATAAATATAAAGCTGCTTTTGTTAACATCGCACCTCTTTAAAGGATCTTCTGTAGTTCTATTCGAATGAAAAAATCATTTAAAATCGCAAATTCATAATTG